TCACGTCACTAGCTCCGCCCTTGCGCCATAGCTCATGACCGGAAGAGAAGAGGAGTCGTTTTGAGGGGGAGGGGAGGTTAATGTTTTTGATTAAAGATTATGAGGGCACATGAATTAAAAAAAAATAATTAAGTGCACGGATAAATTATTTATAATAAACACTATAGTATTCCATTAAAAAAAGATAAGAATTTTCGATTTTGATTTCATGGTGACTTTAAAAATTAATTGAAGAAATGGTTTCATGCGCTTTTAGTTAATGCTGGACAAAAAGAAAAGTAAAAATTAAGTAAATGCATTTTTATTTTGTGCTTTTCAAGCTTTCACTCATACCGGCTATTCAAACTGGTAACACGCAAATGACAGCAATAAAAATAAAATTGGGAAGCATGAAACCTCTAAGGAGCATTGAAAATACATGACTTTGTGGAAGGCCAAAACTCTTGCAGCGTAATGGGTAAAGAAATTTCCACTATTGTCAATACTGAGCAATTAGGAATACACCGTGTATGTGCGTCAGCAATAGTGGACATTGTGTTGTTTATTGCTGTGAACAAGCTTCCTTTGCGAGGGAGTTTAGATGCCGTGAACTCCATGGGTGAGAAAAGTGGTGGTCTCTTTTTGGTCTTATTAGAGTACACAATAAAAAAAGAAAGAATTCGCGGAAGCATTCAGCACAATTCCACGTAATGCCACGTATACCTCCTATGACATCCAGAACCAAATCACATCTCGCATATGAGCGAGATTATCACCGAACACATTGTGTAGGAGATCGGTGATTCATGGTACACCCTTAAAGTGGATGGAACTAAAGACCCAGCTGGATGTGAAAACATTTCTAATGTAGTGAGATATGTTGATGACGGCTATCGTGTGCGAGAGAGACTGACTACAATGACTACAAGCAAACAATGTGACGCCTTGACATTAACTGTACTAGTTATCTCTGAACTAACTAATGCTAGCTTCAGGCTTGACAAGATTTTTAGTCAGTGTTATGACAGTGCAAATGTTATGTCTGGAAAACACAGCAAAATGCAAAAAAAAATACTGCAAGACAAATTAAATCTAAGGCAATAGAGGACTTTTTCAGTGTGTGCTGTTCCCTTTACACATCTGGTGAAAAACTGAAAAGACATCTGTTGAAATCTGGTGACAGCATAACTGAAATGCTCCGTGAAATTGAAACCACTCACATGTACAGCACAGATATCAGACTTGAGGCTGCAGGCTTACTGAAAGCCTTAACCGAACTACGCTTCATGTTCATAGCTTATATGAGCCATAAAATCCTGGGCCTCCTCGGTTCTCCAAATAAACTGTTGCAATCTTAGGCTGCTGATTTATACACATATACAGTTGTAATAAAGTTTATAAAGGCTGATATACTTATTAAGATTATTAGTCAATTTAATATTGAAAACCGAATATATATCGGGCAGGCAATAATATAGAGTAATAATAATTAAGTGAATAAATAAATGAAAAGGAGCAGGAGGGGCCAAATCAGTCACCAGGTCTAATAATGCCCCCCAATTATGACAATCTGGCGCCGGGCCTGCTCTGCTGACTAGTTAAGTTATGCAGTGTTTTCAGGTTGTGAGGAAATATAAACCTAAGTATCATTAGCATAACAGTGAAAATAAATAATAATGTCCCTTAGAGAGAAATATACAAGGAGAAAAGCAGAGGACCTAATACTGAGCCCTGTGGCACTCCATACTTTGTATAAATGAATAGACATCTCATCAAACACAAGTGGTAGCGGTTGGATAGATAGGACCTAAGCTGTGCTAATGCTTGTGCACAAATGCCAACATAATAATCAAACTGTCCAAGAGAATGTCATGGTCTGTGTTTACCAAATTGCACTAGAAGAGACACATGTAGTTGTGATGAGATGCCAAAAGCAGATAATTAAGCACAGATTCTGTGCTATGATGAGGCTTAAAGGGATAGTGATGATTTTGATGCTCTTAACATTATTAAGGTTCTAATGAAATTCTGCACACACATCAGAGTTGTCAGTTATTAGGTGTAGGAATAAGCTAAGACATGGATGTTGAACGGAGGGCTCTGTAGCACCCCCTTTTGACTAAATTATTGATTGACTAAATCCGTGTTAACTATAATCACCAAACGCTGTACGTTTACTGTTCTCATGAACTTTAAAAATTACAGCCATTAGTTTAATTTAATAAATAGTGCATGCTGTGAACATATTTAAACATTTTTGGAGGGGATCGAGGGGATCCATGTGATTGACACCAAACTTGGTCATCATGATGCCAAGATAATAGAAGGTATTGATATGTTTGATATGTTGGTTGTTTTTTCACATGGCAAAGGGATAAAATATTGGTGAAAAATGGAAATCAAACTTGAGCTGTATGATTGGTCAAGGAGGCTGATCCTGTGGGTGTGACTACAGTGAGTCATGGTCACAGCGCCACCAACTGGTAGCGGGATGTGTGTCACATACAACGGGCTTTGAAAAAAATCACTATTACCTAAATCACTTCAAACTTAGAATAATAATTGGGTGTTTTTGAGGGTTTCGACATGCTTAACATTTCATGCAATTTGGCACATATGCATGACATGATGCATTTAAATGTCTAAATGTTTTGATGTTTCTTACTTTGTGCCATTAAACCAGGATTAACATGTATTGGTCTCTTTTTGCCTTAGACCAGATGGTGCCGAAAGAGGAGAATCAAGAACTGAATGAAACAGAAGAGAAAGATCAAAATGAGAAACATCATGACTTTATGACCTCTCAAAAAAGTGCTCCGGAGACTGGAACTAGAGGTAGTTTCACCTGCCAGCAGTGTGGAAAGTGTTACAATCAGAAAGGAAACCTTAAAGTTCACATGAGAGTTCACACTGGAGAGAAGCCTTTCACCTGCCAACAGTGTGGAAGAAGTTTCCTACGAAAAGAAAGTCTGAAGTCTCATATTAGAATTCACACTGGAGAGAAGCCGTTCACATGTGATAAGTGTGGAAAGAGTTTCTCACATAAAGGACCCCTTCATACTCACATGATTGTTCACGCTGGAGAGAAACCTTTCACCTGCAAACTGTGTGGGATAATGCTTAATCGAAAAGGAAATCTGAAGACTCACATGAGAATTCACACTGGAGAGAGGCCGTTCACATGTGATCGGTGTGGAAAGAGTTTCACACGTAACGAAAGCCTTAATTACCACATGGGGATTCACTTAAGAGAGAACGGTTTTATATGCCATCACTGTGGAATAAGCTGCACAAATAAAGCAAACCTCAAGACTCACATGAAAGTTCACACTGGAGAGAAGCCTTACACGTGTCTTCAGTGTGAGAAGGGTTTCAAATATCAAAAAGATCTGAAAAGGCATTTACAAACTCATTCTGCCAAGAAACTGCAGTGCTCTGAGTGTGGCAAGAGGTTTAGAAAAAGTAGCAATTTCAAAAATCACCTTTGCCTTCAATCTGGTGAAAGTAGGGTAGCCGTGGATCCTTGAAAAGCCTGCAAAAGCATTAAATCCACTTTCAACAAGTCCATAAAAAGTCTCAGATAACATAAATAAATAGTCTTAAAACCCTTTTGCTGAGGTTTCAATTTTTTGGAGCCCAAACAGAAGAGAGACTTGAAAAGGCAAACGTATTTTTGATTAGCTGCAGATTGTCATGGTCACTTATTTACATGCTAACAAAGATGCTAGATTTGGGGTGTTTAGGTGGACAAGAAGTAACTGTGAAATGTAAATTTAGTAGTAAATGACTTGAAAGTATTACATTTTTCCTGACTCTGAGCTTGTGAAAACTTTGACATGTGGATGAGACAAAACGGCCTTATTATATACCTTTACTATTGACCAGGGCTGTGTTTCCCAAAAGCACCGTAAGCCCAAGTTCATCGTAGCTCCTTTGGTGGCAATGGTGGAAACGCAGCCCTGGTCTTTTCATGATCGGATTAGAGAAAGCGCATGAAGTGACCAGGTGTAAACAGGCCCTATGTGTGATCTTGCATGGATTCCTCACCCAGTCATACCAAGAGCGTTGGGCTTTATATCAGAAACTCATACTTCTGTCTCACAGAGGGGTTCTCAACATCCCACTGACTAAAGAACTACTAGATTCTTCAGTTTTAGCTGAGTCTCAGTACTGTTTATACCTTGCTCAGAAAAGGAGGGGAAAAGTGAGCAGTGCACAAACTCAGATGCATAGAACTACCGGGTGGAACTTAAAAGGAGAAAAACACTGCTGCAAGAATTGCTTTTTAGTTCATATCACTGACTTGATGCATATGCAGATGCATATGTAAAATAACACGATCATTAAAGGCACAATATGTCAGATTTTTATAATAAAATATCCAAAAACCACTTGCACAGTGTTATATACAGTATTTCATGCAATTGTGTACTTGCGCTATTCCAAAAGTTCCCAAGGATTTGTAAATCCAGAGTTTGACAAAATTGACTCGTCCCTGTTCCTCCATGGTCATGGTCGCCTATCAATGACGTAATATCTGCGCTATCCTCGGTTTTGTGGACAAAATGCCGCTGCACAGTTAAAGTAAATCCATTATGGCTGAAATGAAAAGTGTTGACTGTAGCATAAAATTTATATCTGCTCAATGTTCCGCGTTTTTACAGTGTTGTGCATTATAACCAATCACACACGAGTCTGTTGAGCTTATGAATGCAATGGCCAATCAGAGGTGTTCAGAAGAGTCTGAACTGAATTCAGCTCGCGAATTCTCTCTTCATAAACAATTGCAGATGTATGTATGATGCAAGCAAGTGATTCATTCATCAAGCAGTGTATAGACAGCTTTACTAATTACAAGGGGAGTTTTTTTGAAAGTGCTTAATCTCGCGCTAGATTGAAATCAGTCATAATGTTCTTTGACAATGTAAATTTTCTTTGCTCGCTTTCTCTGTATAATTTATTTGCTGTTTGAATAACTGTGGAAGGTACAGGTAATTCATTACCTCATCCGTGAACATGATTCGTGAATATCATATCAGATCATATCATCTCTTAATGCCCATTGGTTCCAACCCTCTTCACAGCGTCAAGCTTCGCCTTTGTTAATGTTTTGAACATGCCGCAAAAACTTACATATTGTGCCTTTAAGCATTAAACAGCATATAAATCAAAACCAGGGTTGCCAGACGTACGATAATTATCGTATTTGTACGATAATTTAGACCTCTGTAATCCCATAATGTACGATAATTTCAGAATTTTGTGACATTTCAAATAATGGTCGCTGTAATCATAGGGCTTCTATACCTATACACGAAATTGGCTCATTACAGACACTCTAAACGGGTTAAGAATGTGGGAGGGTGCCCTGCTTTTAAGCAAACGAGCACTATGTTGTGGTCCATGAGGGCATCAAATCTGTAATGCAAAAGAACCTCCTCAACATCTGGCAACACAGGCTTCCGATGACAGCGACTCAGAGATGGAGTTTGGTCCTTCCATACCGTGGCGCCGCACCTCAACAGCTGTCTACACTGGACGTGACAAAGCGACCATTGAAAATCATTTAAACTTTGTGTCAGCATGTCATAAATAGAACGCGGCAGCAGTTTACTGTCGGGATTTGTCGTGTCGCCGCATCCAGTGTAGACAGCATCACTGATTATAATGTGTTCTATAGTATTTTGTATTTTTATATACGATGTGAGGTACGCCAGTTATTTATCTATTGTGCTAATTTACATGTCATGTTAAAAAGTTGTTGTTTAAGATATAAATAGCTGTATTCTGTATGCATGACTTGTGTACAGTACAGGGTTCCCACGCTTCTTGAAAGTACTTGAATTTCAGACATATGAGGGCCTTTCGCACCGCGGGAACCTTTTCATAGTACCAGAACTAATTGTGTAACTACCCACTTTTTGGCGTTTTCGCACCGCCGGAACTGGGTGCGATTTTAGTACCGGACTGCCTATTTTGAGAACCAAATTAGCTCCTCTAATATAGAGCAGGGTCTAACCATTTTTATATACTTATATATACTTAAGTATATTTATATACTTATATACTTAGATTTATATACTTCCTTGACCAGTTTTTAGCAGCAATTTACCAGTAGGCCTGAGTAGTAAGGTTTTTTTTATATATATGGTAATAGCAGCCATTTTTGATGGATATATTAGCCTACCATTTGTATTGCCATAGTTTAACTACAAATATTAAACTAAA